CGAGAGGGTTGAAGCCAACAAACGAGTTCTGAGTAAGATGATAGCGTCCAATGATGAGAAAATAAAGGAACTCGACGTGAACATAATGAAGATTCAGGAAGAAATTACTAAAGAGGTTGTTAAAGAAATTAAAAATTATTTAATGAGAGCAGTGGATGATTTTCTGACCAGCAAGCTTCATCCATATTTGAAACCATTCCAGCAACTGCAGGACAATCTAACAGATTATAAACACAAATTAGAGGATGTCAAATACTTAACTGATAATGAGATCGTGGAAGATAAAGTCCTGGTTGATTTCAAAATAACGAAAAAATTTGAGTATCCAATTTATCAAGTAGACTACCAGAAGATGCAAGACAACTTTCGGCTGTTTCCACAAATTTTTCAAAACTCAATTAAGAAGATTTGTTAGTATGAATATATATATATATATATATATACATTTTTTACTAACCGTAACGAATTATTTGTCGGTTTAATAGGCGTTGGACATGACTTCATTACCCGGGTTGAAGAAATCAAATGCGAAGTGCCTGTGACGTGTTTCACTATCTCAAACGACAAACTTTACATTTGTTCAAGAAACAAGTTTATCACAAAAGACCTCCTTAATCCCAAAGAAGTTTCAACAGAAAATATCAATGGCGGCTTTGAATATCCAGCAGACATTTTGAGTTGTGATAATAAATTTTATTATTTTTGTGACGTTAAGAGTCTAAACTCTGGGATGGGAAACCGTTACAATCCTAATTTGATATTGAAAGTTAGAAGGATAGTAAATGGTTCAGAATTCCTAAAAATAGAAGACATAGATTGCTTTTCTCTTGCTGGGAAAAAAATTTTGGCTGCTCGTCTCGGCGAAGTTTTCGAAATTGAGAGTAACTCTCTGCAAAAATCAAGCATTTTTCATAGGTACATTGGTAGAAATATGAACATTTTTTATGTTTTAAAGATGAACTGTGGAAAACTTGTGATAGCCTCACAGAGCGGTCTTGATTTAGTCATATGTAACAACCTTCCTATAAACACACGAAATGTTATTGATTTAGATTCGGGACAGGCTGCACAACAAACTCTCACTTGGCAAGCACTTTTCAATGTTTTAGGCGTTCAAATTTCCCAAACACGTCGCAGCTTTTTAGGCCAGAATTTAACCGAAATTTATAATTATACCGGAGTGACTACCGGAGTGACAAAAGCTTACTTGTCTCATGACATTTACGACAATATATACGTCATCGGTGATTGCTTTCAAAATAATATTTTAATCCTTGATCGAAATCTAAACTTTTTATCGAAAATACAAACAGATATAAATCCTCAAAAGATCCTAATAACTAGCCAAAACAAACTGTACGTTAGTTATGTCGGCGGTTACGTTATCTCCGTATACAAAATCAAAGGAACAGAAACTGAAGAACCGCTGAGCTTAGAAACTGAAAAAGAAGAAGCCGAGGCGTTATTAATCAATTAACCGCCGGTCAGAAAATTTTTTGAATCGCCGGGCTTGGATCGGTGATATTTTTTTTTAAATTTTCTGTTAAAATCAACGTTTCTGTTTTGAAAATTAACCTAATTTGTTTTTGCTGCGGAGCTGAAACAACCTCCAGTCGAAATTTATGTAGAGATTTTGTTCTATTCTACCTTAATTCTAATTTTCATTGTGGGAGGCACCTCAGCCCTAGAGACCCCTTAGCAACCGTTAGAGGTGCATATATATTAAGATGTCTGAAAATTCTTTTTCTGAATTTTTTTTTGTCTGACACAATTCCAGTTTAATTAACCAATTAACCGATGATTTATTTTTAATTAACCAATTAACCGATGATTTATTTTTAATTAACCAATTAACAGATGATTTATCCTTTGTTAACGAATATTCTATCAATAAAATGGACAAGCATTGTTATATTGAATGCTATTTTATGTTACTTGACCAAGCACGTACTTAAATATTACACACACGCACACACACGGACGCACGCACACACACGGACGCACGCACACACACGCACATTCATTAATATACAAGTGTGAATGTTCAATAGTAGTAAAGTTCGCACGAATAATAATAACAATAATAATAACAACAACAATAATAAAAGCAATAATAATAATAATAATAATTGTCACCAAGAAAGGATTTTATTCGTCATCATTATCATCATTGCTACCATTGTTATTGTTATCGTCATCATCATCATCACCACCAGACTGAACATTTCGATCATTATCATCATCATCATCATCATCATTATTGATATCATTATCATCATCGTCGTCTTTGTTGTTATTATCGACGTTATTGTTATCATCATCATCATCATCATCACCATTATTATTGTTATTATTATTATCATTTTCCATATCTTCATCACCACCATCACCACCACCATCATCATCATCATTATTATTATTATTATTATCTTTTTCCATCTCTTCATCACCATCCTCATCGCCACTTTTATGTGATGAAGCTCCCTCATTATCGCTACCATCACCACCACCACCACCATCATCATCACCGTTGCTATCATCATTATTATTATTATTATTATTATCGTCGTCGTCATCATCATCATCTTGTAGGTTGATCATCTTCTTGTTCTTTCTCTCTCTCTTCTGCCTACCTCTTCCGGTATCATCATCATCATCGCCACCACCATCATCATCATCATCGCCACCACCACCATCATCATCACTCATCTTATTAGAAACTCGCCTCCTTTTTCTTCTAGTATTACTACTACTATCATCACTTTCATCATCTTCTTCTTCAGCTTTATCGCCGCCATCATCACCGTCGTCATTATCAGACGACGATGACGTCATTTTTCTCTTCCTTCGTCTATTTGTTTTCCCCTTCTTTCCATCATCATCGTCGTCTTCGTCATCGTCATCATTCTTCTTCTTCATCATCTTTTTAGACATTCTTCTTCTCTTAGGGGAGGCCGTCTTCTTCTTTTTCTTCAGCTTCTTCTTCCTCTTCTTCTTCTCAGTGACGTCATCCCCCGTACCATCATCATCATCATCGCCCTCCGATGATGATAGTGATGACACTGATGACGATGACGAACCGATGTCTGATGATTTCGGTCGACTTTTGTAGGCTGGGGGTGGAGGGATGGTGGGCTGGCTGAGGACCTGTCAATCAAAAATTGATCAACCAATCAATCAATCAATCAATTAATAAATATAAATAAACCAATCAACCAATCAACCATTCACAAGCTTTCTTATGATCTTAAGGAGACACACGCAAAAACACAGAATCTAAAAATAACATCCAAACAAATTTCCCTACTTAATAATCTAAAAAGAACAACTTTCGAGAATTCCAAACTGGGAAAACCCCAAATGGTCACCCGGACCGACTCAAATTACCCACTTTTAATTTCAACCCTCCCCTACAAACCTGTGCAGCCACAACTGAACCGCCAGCGTTGGCTTTCCCGCCTTGACCATCATCGCTCGAATCATCCTCGCTTGAAGATATAATGGCCTTGGAGACGACCTTTGACCTCTGTTTCGAGGTCAGACCGTCCGTGTCCCCCACG